AATGTAACTGAACCTTATAACACCAAGCCGAGCTCAGTGTATCGATCGAGCTCTCATTCGTTTACGTTCGTTTATTGATTGTGGTGAATTTGTGTTTCAACTCATTTATGACATTATTTGTTGAAGTTCGATATCCTCTCCTTTGTGTTTGAATAATTCAGTACTCAAGCCTATAGTTTGATTAACTCGAGTTTGGTTTGTCCAAAATCGTTCGTGTTCGAGAATTCTAAAATTTGAAGATAAAAAAAGTATATGTATTTGGAATTGGGACTACAAATTAAATTTAATGCTTAAATTAGTAGCAAGCTCAATCATTACTTAACAATTAAAAAAATAAAAAATAAAAGAGCTAGTAGCTGCCTTAGTTTGACTCAATTATTTTCTTAATTCGAACTTGTGCCCTACATTGACTTGCTACATCTTGTGGATCAGTATATGTTCAATTTTGCAATTGTGCAGACCAGCTGCATTTATTTATTTTTAATTTAATTTAATTTAATTTAATTTGTGACCTAGCATGGTGAGTACGGAATTTTAATAAATTATTTCCCTTGCAAATTAAATAAAAATGGTCGATCATTAATTGGGTCATTATTTCCATAATAATTTTCTTCAAATTTTTCATTATTATTACTAGATTTGGAAAATATATAGAATCATGAGCATATAATGGACATCTTTTTATTAAGTAGTGGATTTTTTTTTTCCAATTTTTTGATATATAAAATGCATATTTTCTTCTGGGCATAATTTGAAAATTGGTCCTATAATTTGACCACTTTCAAAAAACCACCCCGATATTGACCACTTTCAAATTGAGTCAAATAATTTGACAATTTAATCAAATTTGGTCTTTTTTTATCCGGAACATGGATTAAAATGTGATTAAAAAAAGACCAAATTCGATCATATTGTCAAATTATTGGACCCAGTTTGAAAGTGGTCAATATCGGGGTGATTTTTGAAAAGTGGTCAAATTATAGGACTAATTTTAAAATTATGACTTTATTCTGCAAAAATAATTTAATTAAATTTCCAACTACTAACTGTAAATGCCATCCAATTACAATAGGCATCACAAATATTTTGTGTCCCTATCGATTTCACACGAACGAAGAGAGTATCATCGCCTTTTAGCCATTATTTATTATGATCATTTTAAAGGCATATAATTTTGAGGCTAAAATCCATTCTTTTAATTTTTTTATTTTTTTTAAAGGATTTTTGGAGTTATCATCACTAAACTCGAGAAGCCCGTGAGTGTAAAAGGAGTCTCCATACGCATTAATTAATTCTTTTTTTTATCTACAAAAAGAATTAATTTAGAGAACAAATAAATAAAATTAAATTAATTTTCATGGGCGAATTCATTGATATTTTTATAAATAAAATGGATTCTTATCTTATGATATATATTTATATAATATTAATAAGGTTGCAGTACCTAACATTTAGAGGATCATATTTTTTTCAATATATATACATATATATATATATATATATATAATTAAAATTGAAACGTCATACTCCAAAAAGCAACATTAATATCATTTTTGTTAAAAAAATTATGATATGTCGACCTGCTTAACAACTAGACCGCCATACAATAAATTGTGATATAATTATGATCTAAGAATATTTAAATATCATTTGAAAATTTAGCTTATTCTACAAAGGTATTCATGAAGGGATATAATAAATTAACCAATTTTTATTTGGATTTGTGTGCATCATTAGTTGGTGCATGGCATAATACTTTGATTATATATACAGAATTTTCTCAAAAGTAGGTTACCGACTTCTCAATTTTTTTTTTTTTTTTGAAGGTTTCAACGGGAAAGTGTAGTAGCATTTCAGTATAAATATTATTGAGTAATATATTAATATTTTTACCAAAAAAGTTGTGCTACTTATCACTT